GAGCAGTATTTACTGTGCAACTCAAACTTTACGTTTCTTAACCCCAAATCAAAGGAAAAAAAATTGTATAGGTCCTCTGGACGGGTTCTTCTTTAATGAAACGTTTCGTCTCTCTTCCAAGAGACTTCTTCAGTCTGAGAGTTTCAGGCAAAATTCAGGCTTTTGAGTCCTGCCATCGTTCACAGGTGACTCATACTCACATCACCTGGCTATGGTTCACAGGTGACTCATACTCACATCACATGGCTATCGTTCACCCTAATTAATACCTTTTGTTAACAGGGGGTGGAGTGATACTGCCAATGGCAGCGCTGTAGCAGCGCTGAGCTTTGGGTTGTTTCAAGACAACAACAATTTATTTTGGTCTTAGCTTTGCTGTTAGCTCATTAGTCTGGTCGGAATTAACTACATTTTACTAAACTGAGGTACACAGAGCTATCTACAGCAGGTAAGATATTAATAGTTCATAATCTTTGCACAGAACCACACCTCAAGATTCAAGATTCCATTTATTGTCATTTCCCTGGTTATTTCCATAATCAGGATGAAACGAAATATGTTTCTCAGCAGCTGTACAGTACTTTTAAAAATATACACATATATAAACTAAAATAATTAATAGTAGTAATTAAAATCTGAAGTAGGTTAAATTCATAAAACTAATAAAAACACACATAAGAAAAAAAAACCCTCACACAGACAGAATCACTCCATGTCAATAAACCGTACCGCTGTCTGTCTTATGTCTTATGGCCTGAGGGAAGAAGCTTTATGCAGCATCCTGCTGGACCTGCAGCTAACGCTTCTGAACCTCCTCCTGGATGGCAGGAGAGAGAAAATATGATGACAGGGGTGTTGAGGGTTCCCGAAGAAGGAAGTAGCTTGACAGATGCATCGCTGTTTACAGATCTTCATGAGGAAGGGCGGAGGAGTACCATTAGTACCTGCTCAGCTCGACTCGGTTTGGCTCAGCACGGTTCCATGCCGTTTCCATTATTCAGGATTCATGGAACCAACACTTTTTTTAATGACTGCTGAGATGTTGGTACCGCTGACCCTCTCCACAGCAGACCCATCAGTATGTGATCAATCTCCGTCTCCTTTGTTTTTTCAATATTGAGGCAAAGATTATGGGATCTGCACCATGCTGCAAACTGCTCAAACTCCTTCTGTATGCTGACTCTTCATTTTTGCTGAGCAAGCAGTGAGCAGTAGGGGGCTTCAAAGGTTTCTTTAAAAAAATAAGGTTTTGTTTCTCTCAGGCAAACCCTTAAGGGTTGTGTATTTTCTCTTTAATGTAAATACTTATTTTAATATATAGTTTTATTAAGGCTGTGGTAGTTCAGTGGTCAGTGTCGTTGTCTTGTCCAAAACTGCAGGTTCAAGTCCAGGTCATAAAGACTCATGTCTCATTCTTGTGAGATGTTGAGTGTAGGTGGTACTTATCCCACTGCTGTGTCATTTTATAGTGAGTTCCACTAAGTTCAATGCAAACATTTAAAGTTAAGCTTAAAAACATGTGAACATAAATGTGCCATTTCTCTTGTCTTTTAATTAGTTTAGTTAATTCATTTATTCGTTTAATTTAATTTAAAAATAAAAATTGTGTACACAACAACAAAAAAATGAAAGGAGGCAGAAGAAGAAAAAAGTCTTATATCTGCCCC